TTTACCCCATTCTACCTCTCCCTTTCTTCTCCAAGTATCATCCTGTCTCACCCCTAAATTTTATTCTCCAGATATGACCCCTTAATCTTCAACTCACCCTGTGCCCTCTATCTATCCATCTATCTATCTATCTATCTATCTATCTATCTATCTATCTATCTATCTATATATACATATATTTTTTTTCCTTCAACTACCCTAATACGGACAAAGTTCTCATGAGTTATAAATATCATCTTTCCATGCAGGAATGTAAACAGTTCAATCTTAATAAGTCTCTTATGATTTCTCTTTCCTGTTTACCTCTTCATGTTCCACTGGAGTCCTGTATTTGAAAGTCAAATTTTCTATTCAGCTCTGGTCTTTTCATCAGGAATGCTTGAAAGTCCTCTATTTCACTGAATGACCATTTTTTCCCCTGAAGGATTATACTCAGTTTTGCTGGGTAGGTGATTCTTGGTTGTAATTCTATCTCCTTTGCCCTCGGAATATTATATTCCATGCCCTGTGGTCTTTTAATGTAGAAGCTGCTAAATCTTGTGTTATCCTGATTGTGTTCCCACAGTACTTGAATTGTTTCCTTCTGGCAGCTTGTAATATTTTCTCCTTGACCTGGGAACTCTGGAATTTGGCTACAATATTCCTAGGAGTTTTCCTTTGGGGATCTCTTTCAGGAGGAGATCTGTGGATTCTTTCAATTTCTATTTTGCCCTCTGGTTCTACTATATCAGGGCAGTTTTCCTTGATAATTTCTTGAAAGATGATGTCTAGGCTCTTTTTTTGATCATGGCTTTCAGATAGTCCAATAATTTTTAAATTCTCTCTCCTGGATCTATTTTCCAGGTCAGTTGTTTTTCCAATGAGATATTTCACATTGTTTTCTAATTTTTCATTCTTTTGGATTTGTTTTACAGTGTCTTGATTTCTCATAAAGTCACTAGCTTCCAATTGCTCTATTCTAATTTTTAAGGAAGTATTTTCTTCAGTAATCTTTTGGACTTCCTTTTCATTTGGCAATTTTTCTTTTTAGAGCATTTTTCTCCTCATTGGCTTTTTGGACCTCTTTTGCCATTTGGGTTAGGCTATTTTTTAAGGTGTTATTTTCTTCAATTTTTTTTGGGTCTCTTTAACAAGCTGTTGACTTGTTTTTCATGATTTTCTTGCATCACTCTCATTTCTCTTCCCAGTTTTTCCTCTACTTCCCTTACTTGCTTCTCAAAACCCTTTTGAGCTCTTCCAAGGCCTGGGACTGATTCATATTTTTCTTGGAGGCTTTGGATGTAGGAGCTTTGACTTTGTTGTCTTCTTCTGGTTGTATATTTTGATCTTCTTTTCACCAAAGTAAGATAATATAGTCTGACTCTTTTTGCACTGCTTGCTCATGATCCCAGCCAATTACTTGAGTTTTAAACTCTTTGTTAAGGTAAGAGTCTGCTTCCAATGTGGAGAGTGTACTGTCCCAAGCTTCAGGGGTTTGTACAGCTGTTTTCAGAGATACTTGTAGGGACCTGTAAATTTTCAGTTCTTCCAAGGTGGTATGATAAGGGGCGAGGTGTTCACTCCTTTCCTGGCCTGTGACCACAAGTACTCCTTTCTGTCCTGTAACCATGAGGAGGGGTTCCTCTCTACAGCCACTACAAGCTCCACCACGCCAGCACTCCTCCTCACCCCAGCACTGCCACCCAGTACTGTGACCCAGATCCACACATGGGCAAAGCAAGAGATTCCTGCCTCAGCACTGGCAAAGAGGTCCCTGCAGTCCCTCTCTGATCAGCCACTGGATTCCCCCTCAGTCTGTGGGCCGGAAGCTGGGGAAGCAGCTTCCCCCCCCCCCACCCAGGGCCACATTCTTGGGGAATGGAGCTGAAACCCCACCTTCCTCTATGAGCACAGACAGAAACAGACTTTTCCCACTGACCTTCTAAGTTGTCTTTGGCATTGGTGGATTGAGGAGTCTGGAAACCTCCATAGCTGCCCGCGATTCAGTCCTCTGAGGCCTGCTCCAGGTTCTCGGCAGCCTGTGCACCCACGCCACGCTGCGCTGAGCCGGGGGCACGATACACCTTTCTGATTAATCATCCAGGTTGTCTTGGACTGGAAATTTGCTTCACTCTGTCTTTTTGTGGGTTCTGCTGCTTCAGAATTTGTTTAGAGCCATTTTTTATGAGTATTTGGAGAGGTTTGGGGGAGAGCTCAAGGAAGTCACTGCTTTCACTCTGCCATCTTGGCTCCGCCCCCCCATCCTTGATTCTTAAGACCTTAATTCAAGGCATTAAAGCAATACTTTGAAAATACCTCCCCAAGCAAACGGATAGCTCAAATATACCATATGTACTTTATTTTTATGTAGGAATGTTTATATAAGGTTAACTGAGTTAATATATAGGATTAATTAGGGTTAACTGCTACCTTGCTTTTATTCTTTTTTTCTTGAAGGTGAAATTCTAAATTAGCTACAAAAGAACCATTATTTCAGAAAGAAAACTTATTGTAAAAACCTTAGTCATAAATGTTGCAAGGTTAAAAAAAAAGATTGTTTTCTTAAAATGGCAATTAGACCAGTATTAAGAAGAAATAATGATATAAATCAAAGTAAGTCCAAGAGTTATCAAATATTTGAAATTTTAACACCTCTAAAATTTTTCCTTTTGGGTTTCATGAGAATAGATTCACTTTTATTAGTGTATTCTGTATTAAATCAATGAGATAGAACCCTAATATATCCATACACTAATCTACCACCTTTAGAATTAAAGCTGATCTTTATTCATCAATGTTATTTAATGAGAAAAATAAGCTAATTGAAAATTAGACTCTTACATGCACTTATTTTGGTTTAACAAAAAAGGCAAAAAAGAATAAGGTCCAATGAGAATCAGTACCCATTCCACAAACATAACATTTAACATACATGCAAGTTCATGCAAAGCCATCATTTATCAAGCCTGTGGTCTGCAAGAGTGACCAAGAATGAACAGTGGATGCAGAAGAAATTAATAAGAATTAACATTCAAAAACATAAAACTTTTTTCATTAGGTCATATAGTTTTCATAGCACATGTGTTGTTAACTGATTTGTGTTCAGAAAATACATTTTTCCTTAAATTGTTACCTGACATTATATACATATACACACAGTCTTTTCAAATAATGTGCCTATATTTTTATTAGTTACATTGCAATGAAAATTAGCAACTACAATAGGTGTTGATCAGTATAAAGTAAATAACTAAGGTCATAAGAAAGAGAACTGCACATATACCCTTGGGTTGTACCACTCTTTTCTTTTTGAAGTAACAAAAACCTTGAAGTTATAACATCAAAAACTGGCATTTTATTTAGTTTTCTGAAAAAAAGGTCAATATATCATGAGAATCTCTTATTTTATAACTACCTAATATATTAATGATAGGAAGACAAAAGATGTAAAACCCTAAGGCAGCTCTGTCTTCTATTTACATCCATGTGCTCCAGGGAAAAGCGCATGACATGTATGTCTTTTTTGTAGCTATAAGTGGGCATATTTATATCTACTTAAAATTGTATTTTATTGCTATAAATATTTGCATTAATTAAAGCTATTGTACTTCAGATGGGTGATCTGTATAGATACAGTACTGGAAAAAAGCAATGATCTGAAGTCAGAGAGCCTACGTTCAAATCCCACCTTTGATACTCATTACACCTGTGATACCAGAGAAATAAATTAACATTCTTGGGCCACTGGTTTTCTAATCTGGAAGATGAGGAGATTGGACTGGATGGATTCTGAGATTCTTTACAGCTCTACATCTATCATACTATGATCTAATTTTTGAGGGGAAATATTATCAGCAGAATTCCTGTCATGTATAATACTACAGAAATTATAAAATTGAAATCATTATTAGTTACTGAAAATTTAACACTAAACATAACATAACAAAATGTAACATTCTCACTCTGGCCTATCACCAAAAAGACAAAGAGTTTCTGCTATAACAGAAATTTAATCCAATATGGTATCTTACGTTAGTGACAACTAAAAATTAAAATACCAATAGCTTTTCTCATATGCATTTCTCTTACTTAAAAAAAAACCTCATGTTCACAGCTGCTAATATTCCTTCATTTAAAGTTTTATGAAAGTCTATGGTAGAAAATAAAATTTAAGAAAGAAAAATCTATTAGGATACAGAATGAACATTCACCTACAAAACAAAAGCTGGGGGAGGAGGGGAAACAGTAAGCAAAAAAAAAAAAAGCCAGTATTCACATTTAGGCTTTAAAAGTAAAAACATAAAGGATATCTTGCCATGTCAGTTTTGTACAAAGCTTAGAGATATTTATTATTTTGAAATTTATTTTGTACTTATTAGTATATCTCATGCTACAGAAGGCATGGGGATAAGTTACTGAAATAATTTCCATTTGGAAGAATAATTTTTATATGAAATACATATGAGATTTGTTATTTTCCTTTACTCTCCTACCTTTAATAAAATTAACCTGGTTTTGCTCATTCAATCCTAGGACTCAGATGAAGCTCTAGGCATCCAATAATATTCCAGAATTAGATATCTAACCTAAGTATGTCATTAAGTAAGAATGATGATTTGAGCTATTTTTTAGGAATCTGCAAATGCCTGGAGCTACGTCATCATAAATAATCATAAATTATCTGAACTACCAACAACAGCACACTAATAGTCCGGTCCCTAAAAAGTCTTAAAGTTCTTTGAACACAGTTCCAAGGAAATATATACACTAACCATTCTCAGAGTTTATTTAGATATATTCACAAATACTCACAAAAACTCACAAACACAGGTATGCATGCGATACTAAAATTTGAGTTAATCAATATTGTGGAACTATCTCTAAGATGATTTCAGTGTTCTTGGAATATTCTTTTTTTTGGGGGGGTAAGTCCTAGAGTTATATATTGAGATCATGTTCACCCTTAGTCGCTATTCCCAATCTTGTCTTTTTGTTAGACTATTGCAACATATGGCACTCACCAGTACAAAGGAGTATGCATATAAAGCTGCCGAATGGTGAATGATAAAAAACTTATCACCAATCACCTTCCAGTATAAAAGGATAAGAAGCATATCTGCAAAAAGGAAAAAAAATTACCAAGTAAGGGATTAGATATGTAGAAAACCTGCACCACTTCAGACTTACTCAAAATGACTTGTTACCTGTGCTTGATACTTCAAACATATCAGCAGCAGATGTCAAGTCAAAACAACAAAACTATTAAATGGTGGGAGATGCACAAAATGTAGAATTGGACAGTCACAGAGAAGGCAAATAAATGCCTTTGCTATAAGGATTCAGCGCTTATCCCCACCTAGAAGCAAGTGAAGCAAATGGTTATGCAGACTTGTTACCCTATTCCAGGTGGGAAAGTAAAGCCCATCTGACTAAAAAGTATGGAATTAAGTGGGAAAATCTTTATAGCATTTGATCTTTTACTTAAATTCAAGAAAGTTGAATTTGTGATCTAAAGTCATCAAAGAAGAAACTCATGGAAAGAACATGTAGAGTATTTCTTTTCTAGCACAATAATTATCCAAAGATTTAATTATAAAATAAAAATAAAGTGAAGAGGTCAAAATGCTAAAATTTCTTGCTGAACATTTTCTGACATAAGGGATTTAGGTTCAGAAACTTAAAGAGTTTTCAATATTCTACTTAAAAAGATGGGGGGAAATAATTCAAGTTATTTTTTAAAATAACCGATATTGCAAAAAGCACATTAAATCTACAGATGCGGAAAAGAGTGGCTGGCTAGAATGAAGACCCACAAAGAGGATATCAACAATACCAAAAGTCAAAGTGACCAGGTCCCTGCTCTTTAACATCTAGCTCATCTGCTATAGGATGCATTTCTCCCCCACAACCTCCTTTCAAAGAACAGGATAAATCATTTAGCCCTAAGGCAAAGAGGGAGAGGTTTCATATACATAATCAAAGGATAATTTTTTTTTCATTCTTAAAATGTATGGCTGATATAAAGGAACTAAACGATGGCTCTATTTCTGCATAGCATAGCTACAGAAACATGAATCAAAATAAAATTGTGTTTATTACTCATAATCACCATTTAACTATATCACATAATTACCAGAGAGGAGGTAGCCTGAAGCAATGGCAAGATTCACTTGAACAACTGAAGGATCACCCCTGTGAATAAACATGAAAATAAAGTTTTAGTCTTTGCCATACAACTTGGGGATTTTTGGGTGCAATTTTTGTAAGAGAACATTCCAGCACATTTTTTTGGTTAAGTTTTGAAAAATTGTTACATCACTATTTGGCAAATTACAGTTCTGTACGTAAATCATATTGGCAGTCTAATAGTTTGCCATGACATACTTCCTGAGATGTCACTTGAAAGGTTTTAGGATATTCCAGCCAAACTGGAAGTTCTAGAAGGAATGAATTGTCCATAGGATGCCTCAAATGCAACCACTTCTGACAACTTGAGAATCCCTTTAAATTAAACCCAAAGAATGAAATTTAACTGAGAAATATGCTTTAGGACATAGTTTCAATGGGGAGCCTCTTATAGGCCTAAGCCAAGTCTCCAAAGTTTCCTTTGGGACCACTAGCTCTGAGGGGTCCAGACTAGTTTGATAGTGGTGAAGAACAATGATGATAATGGCATTTATATGATGCCTTAAAGTTTGCTAAGCACTTTATAAATAGTACCTTTTTTTATTCTTACAATAATCCTGAGATGTAGGTACTATTATTATCCCCATTTTACAGATGAGGAAACTGAGGCAGAGCAAGGTCAAGTGACTTGCTCAGGATGACACAGTTATTACAGGCCAGTTTAGAATTCATGTTTTCCTGATTCCAGGCCCAAAACTATGTATTATGCCATCTAACTGCCCTGCTCCACTGAGGAACAGAGGGGAAAAATTTACTCCTGGTCAATTCTTTTAAGTTGGGAACTTACCTCTTTTTTTTCATCCCCTCTCAAAACACACACAACACCAGGAAAGCTGTAAGTCCTTGGATTCATCATTGTCCCAACCCAAATCCCTAGAATAGCTACTGTAGTAGAGATTAAAGAGTAGTAGTGATTATTCTGAGCTGCAAAGTATAGCTAGGAGCCCAGTGTAACAAATGCTAAGATTATAGGGAATATCACAGCATTAGCTCCCACAATTAATTATATCAAATGAATAAATATTAAGTATCTATAATTATGCAGAAAACATAAGACCAAGTACTATAATACAGTCTGTCAACATGTGTAATGACTAGTGTATGGTATAAAGTAACCAAAAATGTAACTTCTGGCTAGGCTATTTTACTAATTTTGTTGTTCAGTCCTTTCAGTCATGTCCAACTCTTCATGACCCCATTTGGGGTTTTCTTGGCAAAGATACTAGAGTGGTTTGCCATTTCCTTCTCCAGCTCATTTTACAGATGAGGAAACTGAGGCAAACATGGTTAAGTGACGTAATTTTGAAATACAAATGCTGTTTATGCTAAAAAAAAAATTAAGAATCAAAATCCCAGAACTGGAAGAAATAATCAGAAATAATCAAAAAATAATCTAGTCCCCTTGTTTTGAGACAGATGAGGTGTTATTATATCTAAATAATTTTAAGACTACATAGCTGGAAAGCTTTAAGGGGGACTAGAACCCAGATGTCTTGTTTCTTGAATGCAATGCTCCTGTGGTAACACAAGCCCCTCAGTCTTACTGAATTAAATCAAACCATTCACAAATAGAAGCAAAAGTTTCAGCTTATGTTTACTACTGGGTGATTTTTGCTAGTGTTGGAAACTCATGGAGTAAGAACTCTTGACCACCATGTCACACCTATAACTTGGAAGATAATTGCTTGGAAATTGCCTGAAGCACAGAGAGGTTAAGTGGACTTGCCTAGAGTCACAAGTGTAATAAGTGTCAAAGAAAAGATCTGAACCAAAGGACAAACTTATCACTCTATCCACTGCAACACACTCATTACTAGAATATTATTTACTAGTTTCAAAAGTGATAACCCGATAGAAATCTTGCTACCTTAGTTAGAATTTTATTCAAGTTCAAATTTCTGAATAGTGGCTAGAATACTGAATCCTGCAATCAGGAAGACCTGAGTTCAAGTCTCACTTCTAACACCCACCAGCTAAGTGACCCTAGGCAAGTCACTTAACCTCTAACTACTCTAGGTAACTCCAAAGACTGTTTATGTTGAGAAGATAACAAACTGCTTTGGGAAAGGGAGTTTCCTCTTCCCATACCAATGAAATCACAAGTCTAGTCCCTATTCCCTATTAAAGTAGGGAATCCAAATTTTTTGTCTCTAATGTCAAACAATAAGGCAAATATTAAATTAATAATTGGATCAAAGTAGATGTGGCTCAGTGGAGAGAGCTCCAAACCTGAAGTCAGGAAGATCTGAGTTCAAATCTGCCCCCAGACGCTTATTTGCTGGGCAAGTCATCTAACCCTATCTACCTCAGTTTCCTCATTTGTAAAATGAGCTGGAGAAAGAAATGGCAAACCACTCCAGTACCTTTGCCAAGAAAATCCTAAATGGTGGCATAAAGAGTTGGACACAACTGAAACAAGTGAACAACAAGATACTTTCCAACTAGACTGTCTTGTTCTAGTTAGAAACATTCTCCAACACAACTGATCCATAAACTCTGATATGTAAACAGAAACCCTTTATATTTCTAAGGTAAATGAGAAATAATCTTACAAATAAACATTCTTTTCAAAAGCATAAATGAAATCAAATCATTTGGGATATATCTTACCAAAGAGGATCCGCTATAGTAGCTTCATCAAAATATAAGATATATAGGCATAAAGAACCAACCAACAAGGAATGGAATGTGGATACTATCCTGAAATGAGAAAAAAAAAATTCAATATTATTCAGACTGAAATGCATTCTTACCTCACTTAGGCATATGAAATATTTCAAGGGATTTCTGATGAGAACCATTAGAAGTGAATGGAATGGTAATAGCCCTGTACTTGGAATCAGTAGAGACCTGAGTTCAAACACTGCCTGTGACCAGGGGCAAATCAGTTAACCTCTCTGAGACATATTTTCTTCATCTGTAAAAGGAGGATAATAATACCAGCTGTATTTACCTCACAGAGGTGTTGTGTGGAATGATATAATGTAATTTGAACATTTTCTAAACCTGAGTGCTACATAAATGTTTGCTATTATTATTCTTAAGAGTATAGTATAGAGGTGCAGCTAGGTGGTGCAGTGGATAGAACACCAGCCCTAAAGTCAGGAGGACTTGAGTTCAAATCAGGCCTCAGACCAAACACTTGATACTAGCTGTGAGACCCTGGGCAAGTCACTTAGCCCTAACTGCCTAAAAGAGAGAGAGAGAAGAGAGAGAGAGAGAGAGAGAGAGAGAGAGTATAGAACTACAACTTTCAAATTATCAGCATTTTCTAAACACTGCCAATACCAAATACAACTCTCTCTTTAATTCTCTTACTTAAAAAACAGGGCTATGCTTGCTCACAAGTTATATAACATGAACTATCAGTTGCAATCATTCTTCAGAGTACTTTTGCTCAAATACTTCAAAAGATCTATGATTTAATCAATATGGGTATTACCTCCAAAGATGCAGATTGCCAACCATTCATGCCCTCTCATTCTGCACAACACTTGTCTGTATCCTTTTGTAACTCTTCCATGACAAGGCTTAAACTGCTTTTAGGGACATTTTGCTTAATTTTGAAAATAGCCAAAGACATAGATACCATTATCTTTATTTTATGGAGGAGGAAAGTAAGGGTCAAGAGAGATTAAGTGACTTGTACTCTCAGATGGAGGTTAATAAGCAGAAGCATTAAGACCAGAACCCAGGTCTTCTCACTCCTACTCTGATGTTCTTTCTAAATACATTGCTATCAGATGCTGCAAACTGGTAAGGAAAAACAATTTGAAAAGTGATCTTTTTCAGGACACAGTAGGGAACCTGATCACATTTAGGATATGTTCTTTTCCAAAGTCTGGTCTATTAAAGACCAGAAATACATAAAAGCAAACTACAGATACCAACTAGTTAAGATTAGTTTTCTGTTTATAAAGAAGGCCTAAAGTTTTGGGAAAAATTCAATTCAACCTCAACCAATATTTATTAAGCACCTAATGTATCCTTGCCAGGAACTATATTATTTCTCTTCTCAGCAGAAATGTAAAAAAGAATCTAGCAAATTATATCTAATATTGACAAAATGAACCAAATAATATAAACTTAATTTTATGTACGTGTGTATCATACGTATTTGTATACATGTATATATATACACTATTTACTTATATGTGCAATTTGTGCACGTATACATTTCTATATCATATTTATATATGCATGTATATACATAAATCATATTTATCTATGTATCTTGTCCCATAAACTCTCATGCAATGAACATTTATCTTGGCTAACAATTATAGATCTATAAATATCTTGACTTCAAAATTATAACAAAATAGTTCATAAGCTTTAAAAAAAACTTTACAGGAATAAAGAAAAAAAAGATGAAGGGTAAAAGCATTATTTTGAGTTTTCTCAAGTCCAAAGTACTTTTTTCTCTAATAATATCAAATAACATCCCTTTAAAATAATTAAAATATAATCATCAATATGTAGTTCAATATTATAAAATAACCTCATAGTAAGACAAACTTGGGAGTTTATATTATCAAAACAAGTGTTCCTAAAAAGGCATGTGTAAATCAGACAAAGTCAAACAGAATTTTAAATACTGTTAAGGTCCTCACTATTTAAAGAATTCATTGCAGTGAATTCTTCTGTAAAGTGAAAAATCCTTTCATAATATAAATAATCAACCTACATTTCACACCAGGCCCTCATGTTTTAAAAAGTATATTGATTTCTTTTGTTTTTACATTGCCTGAATTTTCCCCCATATCCTTTGCCATTCTCCTCTCAAAAAGGTATCTCTTATGATAAAGATCTCTTTTAGAAAAAAAAAAGAGGAAAAGAAAAAAATTTCAACAAAACTGATCAACACGTTAAAAAAAACTGACAGCACATGCAATATTCCATACTTGTGGATACCCTCACTTCTGCAAAGGCGTGGGGGTGGAGAAGAAATATCTTCTCATAGTTCCTGTTTGGGGCGAGGCTTTTCTTTGAATTTCACAACATTCATTTTTTATTGTTCTGTAGTGGTTGTTCTTTCCACTTCTATTGTTGTAGTCATTGTGTATAATGGGAGGGGGGGTTTGCTTTGCTTACTTCACTTCCATTATTTCATTTAAGTCTTCCCATGCATCTTTGTATTCAACATATTTATCATTTCTTACAGCACAGTAAGTGGTACCTCCATGTACCACAATTTGTTTACTCATTCTCCAACTGACAGCCAGGGGCTTTGCTTTCAGGTCTTTGTTACCACAAAAAAAAAAGTTACTATAAATATGTTGCTGTATATGGAGACAGTAGGATCCCTGGGCCAAAGGCTATGAACAGTTAATCATTTCATTGTATAATTCCAAATTGCTTTCCAAAAAGTTTACTAATTCACAGCCTCAGCAACAATGCATTAGTGAGCCTTTCCACAACCCTTTCAACATTAACTATTCCCACCTTTTGTCATTTTTTTCCAATTTTCTGGTTGTCACGTGAGACTTCAGGGTTGTTTTGATTTGCATTTCTCTTATTATTACGGATCTGTTGTATTCTGTCATATGGTTGTTTGTAGTATGCAGTTCTTTTGAGAATTTTTTGTTATATTTTGACTACTCATCTAGTGGAGGAATGGTTTTCGGGTTTTATCTATCACTTCATATCTCTCTAATCTAGTGTTCAGATATTTGTCCATGACTTAGAGGATAAATCTGGATGTATCATGTCAGAATGACATTGACCAAAATTCTATTGGGTTGAATACATCATTACCTTCCCTCTGAGATTACCTTTCATTTACAGTATAAATAGTTTGTATATAAATGGTCATTTGCATGTTGTTTCCTCAGTTAGAATGTGAGCTCCCCGAGGAAAGAAACAATGTTTTTGCCTATGTCCATCACTTAGCCAAAACCTGGGACGTACTGAGCACTTGAGACAAATGATTGCTGGATTAACCAACTACTGCCTGTACATACAATTAAAAAAGTCCAAAAGCAGACAGACAAATTACTTAGGAAACTACCTGTATGTATCTCACTGACTGGACAGAGCAACACTCTCAATCAGTCTAATTCTACTATGTTGTGTACAGATTTACCTTAAATTGGGTAGAGTTAGAAATACCTCAAAACAAGAAAAAGAATACAAACACATCAGTGAAATGGTAAGCAAAAAAACAAAAACAAAAACAAAACAAAAAACCAGGATAAAATTAATTAGGAGAAAGTAAGATGCACCTTAGGAATGTAAAACAAATAAAACAATCTATGTGTGCCTAGTCAAATCATACCAGCCAACCAGTCATATCATAATTTCCAGGTTTATCTTTGGTTTTCTGTTTGTCAAAAACAAATACTATATCCCACTGAACAATAGGAGCAAATATTGTATACTGTACCAATTATTCTGTATTGTAAAGCATATCCTAAAATATAATTCTATAACTTATCATTTCACATACCTTCAGAAACATCTTTGTGAAGTGCCATAGGTCACTTTATAAGCAATTCCTGGCACATGTAATTCAAATGCCTTTTTGTTTAGAAGGAATGATAAAATATACAGTAACATAAAATATGTTTTTCACTTTTAAACTTTATTTAGCATACTAAATTTATCTGTAAAATGTTTTTGAAGAGATAATTAATAATCACATCAGAATGGCAGTTTAGAAGTTAGAGATTTACTCATTTTTAGGTAGTCCGTTTATTAACAACTAAAATTGCATAATCTAAAACAAGGCAAAGGCAGCAGCTTAATTAGTAGACCAGCAAATAAAAAAATAAATCATGAGTAATTCAGCACAGCAGGATTCTCCATGCTAAGTGTGTCCATCTGGCTAATGCTGGAACTAAGTGAATAAAGGAAGGAGAAATAAATTACATTATTGTGGCAAATAATACCTATAATTCTTATCTTTTATGTAAGAGCAACAATTAAGCTTAATGACTCAATTGCAATTATAACCACTCAAATTAATGTTTTCTGGTGGAGATTTTTCTATACCTCCCTAAGTGACTCAGAACATCCAGGGTTCACAGACTTTTAGGCAATCTCTGATTGTGAGGAAACATCAGCACGTATTATATTAATTTATTCTCTCCAAATTAGTAGGAAAACTGTGCAATAGGGAAAGGCCAAACCCGGTGAGTTTCAGGAGGTAGGAATCACCCCCAACTTGGAACTACTGTTATAGAGACAGCTTCTCTTTTGAGATTTCTTGGGAGACCTATTTTTCAATTATACAATAGTGACAGGTGACTGGTCAGTGACTGCTGCTTTTGCCTTGTTTTAAGTTATGTAACATTAGTTACTAATACACAGAATGCCCAGAAACCATTAAATCAGTCAATCCATGGGCTACAGGAATGTGATTCTACTTTCTACCTCCTGTCCCAGGTATTTTTCCATTTTTTGCTCAATTCTTCATTTTGCCACTATGAAAACTCCATTTTGGGGTAGCACTCCCTAGTAGAAAGAACGCTGGATTTGGAGTCAGGTAAGACATTAGGTTGAATACTATTTACTAGCTGTGTGACTATGAACAAGTTACTTAACTTCTCTGAGACCTTGGTTTCCTCATCACAAAATAGGGATTATAATATCTATGGTACACGTTGTGAACATCAGCTGAGATAATGTATGTAAAAGTGCTTTGCAAAGTGCTATATAAATATCAACAATTATTACTTTTGCTACTCTGGGAAAAAGAAGAGAAGGTCTAGAGGTAAGGTGTCAAAGGATACAGTTTTTTCATTTTTTTTAAGGCAATTGGGGCTAAGTGACTTGCCCAGGATCACACAGCCAGTAATTGTTAAGTGTTTGGTCTAAGGCCAGATCTGAACTCAGGTCCTCCTGACTCCAAGGCTGGAGCTCTATCCACTGCACCACCTAGCTGCCCCAATACAGTTTTTTCAAAAGAAGAAATGTGAGCTATCAGTAAGTCTATGAAAGAATGCTCAAAATCACTAGTAATAAGAGAAATACAAATTAATCATTTCTGAGACTTCACCTCATCCACACCAGATGAGCCAAGATGACTACAACTGAAAAGAGAAAGACAAACTAATACACTCTCTGTGGGGCTGTGAAGTGAACCAATCATTCTGGGAAACAATTTGGAATAATAATTTTAAAAGTCACTAAATGATACATGTAATGGTACTATATCTAGGTACCTACCCTAAGTAGGTCAAGGACAGAGAGTTCCCTAATATACAAAAATACAGTAGCCCATTTCATAGAAGCAAAAAATTAAAAGGAAAGTAAGTACCCATTGACTCTGGAATGGCTTAACAAATTGTGGCATGTGAATGAAACAAAATACCATGGAATCACAACTATGAGGAGTTTGGAAAAACTTGGGAAGAACTACATGAACTGATGCAGGTGAAACAGAACCAGGAAAATACATTATTCCCAGTTCAAAAAACTTTATTGTCTCCTCCATGTCTCTAGAATAAAATACAAATTCATCAGTGTGGCATTTAATGCCTTCTACATTCTAGTTTCAATCTATCAAGGGCTGTACTTCTGACTACTTCTCTTCATGAACTCTACATTCCTCCATATTGGACTAATATTCCCCTGTATTCAATGCTTTACCTACCAGTTTCATCTATTCATACAAGAGCCACTCTTCAAACTTGGAATGAAATTCCATCTTATCTCTGCCTCTAAGCATCTTAGTGTTCCTTTTAAAGCTCCTATCAGGTGCTACTTACTCAGCGATACCTTCACTGATTCCTACCAGTTAGTAGTGTGCTATCCCTTCCATTACCAGTTCAAGCACCCACTTCTTCCAGAAGTCTTTCTTAATTTACCCAGTTACTAGTATCCCTCCATCCTTATTTATTTTGTATATATCCTATATGTCCTTATATGTGAATACTATATTCTACTGGAATATACTATTCTTGAGGGCAAGGTTTGTTTCAAATTTATATTACTATCTTTAGTGCCTAGCTCAGTGCCTGGCCCATAGCAGATACTTAATAAATGTTTGATGAATAATTGATTTTATGATCAATTATGTAAAGGGTAAAAATTACTGAAAACTTGATCAATACTGTGACCAAGCATTGATTTTCCAAGTCCAGCAGTGGAGCATGTTTCTTGCCTTTCTGAAAAGGAGTGGTAAGCTATCAGTACTGAATGAGGCACACACACCTTTTATGAGGGAGGAGGAGTATTCTGATCCAAGCATGAGATTTCAACAGTATAGCCGAAATAACTACAACAGTTCTTCCACTGAAGCAGCTGAGTGACTGATCCTTAACTTGTCGTAGTTACCTGAAGTACTCAGGGTTTTATATTTCTTTCTGATGCACTTAAGTAATATTATGTATTAGCTATACATGCTTACTAGTGTCTGCCTCTTACTAGACTCAAGCTTAATGACTCTTAAAGCTTTATTAACTACATGTGCCAGGCATTAACTGTGCTGGTACTCAATATGCAAAGACAAAAACCAAACAGTTCAACATTGGATGTCCTCAAGGAGATTACATTCTCAGGGGAGGAGAGGGAAAGACAACCCATGCATATATAACAAGAATACATGAAAATATATTTAAGGACTGTATAGAGGATGAAACACTAGCAGCTGGGGACCAGGGAGGGTGGAATCAGGAAATGCCTTGAAGAAGGTTGCACTTGAGCTCAGCTTTGAGGGAAACTTGGAAGTTTAAGAGGGTAGAGGGAAATGCATTCCAGATACAAAGGCAAGAAGAACCCGTCTTATTTAAAATCCACATCTTTTCTTCCCCCAAAAGCACACGTAAGCTTAATAAATATGTGCTGAACAATAATATTAACATGTTTAATCTAGCACTTAGCACAGTGCAGTATACAGTAGGTGCTTAATAAATGCTTGTTGCCTTTAAGGTTAACCAAGCGTGTTCTTCATAACTACTTAAGGCAGATGTAATATTACCCACATGCTACACGAACACAACAGAGATGCAAAGAAATTAAGTTATCAGTCAAAGTAACACAATCATCAGTTACTTACTAAGATGAAAAAACAGAACACATTTGAGGGCAAAAGGTAGATATACAAGCAAGGGTTTGCTCAACATAACCATGCTTTCACTAGAAAATGTTCAGATGTTTATTTTTTGCAACAATGTTTCAATTTATTTGGTTCTTTGATGTTCTTCATTTTTACTGAGATAGCTCCGTGAATTCAACAGATTTTGATGTTTGCTGTGTTAATATACCCAACACCATTCTTTATTTGCATTTGAAATTTTTACTTTATATAAATATTTATGATTTATTTGACCTCATATTTTTATTAAAACATCTCTCAAAAAATGTCGCCATAGCCTAGTAGTCAATTTTAAGAGACCTTCACTTTTCTTTTCTTTTTTTTTTTTTAGGGGGGTGGAAGCGGTAGGGAGGGTAAGAGAAGCAATATTCCCATTCTATAATTCTATGTATAAAAAATATTTAAAATCTAACTTATAATTCTGAAAGAAAGCAAATTCTGCCTTTAATTGCTGTTCTACCAGACTCAAAAAAATGCTTATTCCATACAGACAGCATGTATGAAATACCTACATAAACTATAACTCTTTTTTAAAGGTATGTATTTTTCTCAAAGCAGTTGTAAGGAAAGATAATGAATACAGACTAGAAGTTTTTGATCTCTAATCAGAATAAAGATCAAAGCTTCAGCTCAAATACTTAACTGTTCTCTCAGAAGAACCTGGACTTTTGGCAAACATTCTTCGAACTTAGTATCAAACGGTAATTTTCTGCTGCCCTCTTTCCCATTCCCCAAAAAGGGAAATTTTAGAAATAATTTTATCCTAAGTATTACTTTTATCTAAATAATACAAAGTACATCATATTCCTGTAGTGACAGCATGGTAAAAACTGAAGTTACAAAGAAATGAATGTTTGAAAAGGTAGCTATTGAGTACCTACTGTGTACAAAGCACTGTAGTAAGCTGAGATGCTTTAGAACCATAATATTTTATATGAGTCAAACCAAAACTCATTAAAAAGTAATTTTCTTTCTTATACATCTTTCAATGAAGAAAGCATTTTTAACATGATTTATGTAGTTCACTTTCTGCTTCCTTTTCATAAATATTAATTGATTCCTTTTGTTTTTGTGGAATTTTTTAATATAATCTGATCAAAAATAAACTGAGTTTAATCTAAAGCATATATAACAAAATCTAAAGAAAATAATATTTCAAAATATTTTGGTTTCAAGTGACCATATGGCTATAGTCTGATGTCAAGTTTTCTGGGAGTTGTGACTTAATATTCTCCTATATTACTTAGTTTTAGAAACTTTACCTTGAGTTCCATTCAATCTTCTTTTGGGTGCTTAGTTTGTTAAAACCTGAGGTTACTTGTGCTGAAAACCAAGAACTTACAACATGGAAAAGAAGTTGAAACATGAGAAAACTGGTAAAAACAATGCCAATAATGCTGTAGAAATCCATGTTTCTTCAATCTGTTAAGAGAAGAAGTGGATAATTATTCCTATGAACTGTTTCTAGAATTAAGAGTTTTTGTTTAAAGTTTAAATGTTTAAAGTCAAGTCTATGGTTTTATGCTGAGAAATAATTTTAAGTAATTTAGTGCAATAACAAAATATGAAGAAGTGATGGGACGTTTAAGGGATTTGGCTGTTTTTCTTACTGTCTACTAGCTAGTCTGTCAAGTCTTACATTTACATTTATACTAGAAACGTTTTAAAAAATTATCTTCAAAAGAATATCTAAATAAGGATTTTCTTAACGTTAGTTAAAACATTAGGGGCCAATTTCAACATAGCCACATTAAAAATTATCTAATTTCATTTTTATAATTGCTATTATTATAAAAACTCACCCACCACAACCACAGTTATCCTTTGAGCACTTTTCTGATTTCTCAATTCATACTCCCACATTGGAATAGAAATTAGCCTTCACCTACAAGTGCAAACCAAAAAAAAAAGAGTTTAAACAACAAGAAAAATAATGTCTAACAGAATAAAAGGTATTAAATATAAAATAAAATGTATATTAAATACCAAGAGATCAATGTAACATACAAATTATATTTAATTTGAAAATTACTAATTCTGTTCAAAGTAGTACCTTAATTTTAAACTTATTCTACAGTAATATGAATGTTATGCCTAAAAAATTTTTCCATGTAATTTTCTCCCCAAAATGGCAAAATTGTTTCAGATGATAAAAATTAGATCAGAAGATAAAGGAATATTACACACAAACACATACAATTTTTAAAATGTTTCTATGATGATATTAAATTCATTTAGCTCCTAAAAACTTTAATAACATTCAGACCACAGAATGGAATGAAGCATGGTTTTGGTACTCAGCAGAAAAGTAGTTTTAGGGCTCTCTCTTTGATAAAGCTGAACCCAGATGAAAAGAAAATTAATCAGTATAAATTTCCCACTGCCTAATGAGAAAAATTAAAGTTAAAGTCATCTATTGAAGGCAATTCTCCAGTGAAAATAGGTCACAGAATACTTCAGCAATAACATAACTTTATCCTCTTCTACTCGAACACCATAATGAAAATTTGCTATCCATACAACTGTTTTCCTGTGTCTGTAATGAATTCTTTCTTTATTCATTTTTTGTACTTTGTTTCTTAAAATCTGATATTAAAATCCTTTGCAGTGAGAGTCCATTCAGTTTATTACTCATTTATTTTTACTAAAATTTAATATATACTGTCATTATTTGTTCCATATTGGTTTGCTTTTGAAAAACACATTACTAAAAAGATATTTTAAAGCAGACATCTTGTAACATTAGCTATTGTAGGAACTTTTAATTTAGCTATTCTAACAGAAGACAAGTACCCAACATTAAGAACTTTTCCTTTCCAAGTCACAACATTGTCTTATATTAGATGCCAAACTTCATATTTTTAAAAGATTTACAATTAATGATTTTTTAAAACTACATGTGCCCATTCTATTTGAATCTCCTTTAGAAAGTGTCATTAATATGCACAAGAACTCCATTTGATCGCTGTAGTTCTATGAAAAATCAGAAATACAGTAAATATAATTAAGACTGGCAAAGATGACCAAAAAGAGAAACAATGTAAGAAAGATGTAGGACAATAGATACACTAACATACTGTTGGTGGAATTAAGAATATTCTGAATAGATTTCTTTTGCATATACTTCTATAATCCTAATCCATGCTATTCCACTAAGTACATATTACACGCCAATTGGCCTTACCTGCTACTCTTCATGGGTGACATTTCATCTTCCTCCTTTTTGCCTTTTCAGAAGCTGCCCCCTACACCTGGCATGCAACACCTCCTTATCTCTACCTCTTAGATCTCCAAGGTCTTGAATCGTTCAAGGCTCAGCCCAGTTCTCATCAGGATTGTTCTAGCTTCCCTCCCCATTATTAGTGCTCTGTTCATTTGGTGTATAAAGAGAATGTAAATTCCCTTTGGGTAGGAGTTGTCTCGTTTTTGTTTGTCCTCAGTGACGTTGCATATTGCCCTGTCCATAGTGGGTGTTTAATAATTGCTTATTAAATTTAATTGAATTGTTCTCCTTAACCCAAGAGGGCAGAAATAGAATAGTTTGTAGGAGTTGAAGTGAGGCAAATTTAAGTTCAATATAAGGAAAATATTCAGGTGGAATAGGATGCCTCATGAAGCAGGGGTTCTTCATCAATGGAAGACTTCAAGTAAAGGTTAGATGACCATTTATCGAGAATGTTGTAGAGGGGATTACTATTCAACAACTGGACTAAATGACAATTAGATTCCCTCCTACTCAGATTCTATAATTCTGGGTCCATTTACTCTATTGCTCCCAAATCCAGAGGAAAGGTCAAGCCCATATCTCGACCACAAAAAGATATCCTGTCATTTTCTACTGTTCCTTGACTATACCCTAAGCTTTCTAACTTCACAGATTTAGTTCCAAGCAAGAAATGCCTTCTACCTTTGGGTATAGAGATGAAAAATGACACTCTCCTTCAAGGTACTTATATTTTAATAGGGATAATACAACATACATATGCATATACAAATAAGATAAAAAAGAATAAAAGAAAATAGAAAGTGCTGAGAAATTTTGAGGAAGGAGAAATCACTTTTGGATGGATCAAGGAAGGTCACATGGAGGAAGGACATGAGCTAGACCTTGAAAAGAAAGTTTTCAACAGGCAGAAGAAATACGGAGACAGCACATAACAAGGAAGCACATGAAAATGCTCGGAGGCAAGAGAATGGAGGACAACAGTGATGAAAAGCTAATAGACTAGGGAATAGAGTAAAATAAGGCTGGAGCCACCTGGTGGAGACACTGCTAGGTAAGGCTAAGGAGTTAGTATTTTATCTTCTAGGTAATAAGAAATATTATTTCTGAGCAGGGCACTGACTCTGTTCATACATATGTTTTAGAAACATTTTGGCAGCTGTTTGAAAAACAGTTTGGAGAATGGACTTTAGGAAGTGGAAATGATTTAGGAAGCTCCATGAAGCCTTCCTCTTCTAAAAATTATTTCATTTCTCTGAAATTTTATAGCATTTTGTGCTTCACAAGCACCTGTCACATTCTGTTTTGCAATCTATTTGTCTGCATACCTGCTAGATCCCCTGCTAGGCTGAAAGTTTCATGAGAACAGGGAATTGTCTTCATCACTGTAATTTCTACAACTCCCAGTACAGTGTTTTACATGAAGTAAATGCCCCCAAAGTCTGCTGAATTAAACTGCATTTCTGATTGGTATTGCACTGGCAAAGTCCCTAACACTCAATTTTTTTCTCTTTACTCCCCAACAAAAGTTAAAACATTTGGAAAGAGATGCCAATGAAATGGATCTCTCCTTTAAATCTATCATGCCCTACCTTGAGGAATGCATGGAGAAGTCATATCCCCCTTAAAGTGGAAGGGCCAGTTTTGTTTCTGGATTTCTAATATGTAAGTACAGTGCCTTCCATATAGCATGGTGCTTAATAAGTATTTGCTGAATGGAACTAAGGGGAGATCTGGACATAAATGGCCCTTACTATGAAACCTGTTAGGAATTTCTTTAAGACAAGGATCCTTATCCTGGTCTATTAACCTTTAAAAAAAAATGTTAATAATGATATTTCAAAATAATTGGTTTCCTCTGAAATCTTTAGTAGTATTTCATTTTATTCATTTAAAAACATTATTCTGAGAAGGCTTTACCAGACTACAAAATGGATTCATAACTCAAAAAAGGCTAAGAACCCCTGCTTTAAGACAACATATTCACATGAAGAAACAATTTCCTCCTAATTTATTTCTTTAATCTGGGTTTTTACATAGGTATATTTCTAGTTGTTTAACTGAGGGTTTGTAAAATTTAAGTAGAAAAGTTTAGATTCTTCAACAACAATCAGATGAGAAGATAAACAGTATATGCCAGATTTAGAGTCAGAAGAGACATGGATTTAAACTCTGAAACTATGAGCAAATAGTTTAACCTTTCTAAGCCTCACGTTCCTCATCTGTAAAATGGGGATAAAATCCTCAAGAATCTGTCTCAAAAGAATGTTGGAAGAATCTAATGGGATAGATGTTTATAAGATACTTTGCAAACCTGACAGAGATATGTAAAACTCAATTATTATTAATAGTATGCTTTCTCCTTTTTTGCCTTTTAAATATGTGTGTACATACATATATAAACAAGTCTGCTGTAGTGAGTAAATTATCATAAATAAGAGGTCTACCAGATTAAAAGATTGAAAACTCTTCATGGAACACATTCTATCTCTGGATGATCAAAGAATACTGGCTCTGGAGTCAAAGGACTTCAAATGCTGCCCCTGATCCTATATAACCTTGGGCAAGTTAACTTAACATCTCTGGGCCTTAGTTTCTCCATCTGTAAAATAAAGAGTTGAACCCCCTTAGGTAGTATATGGCCTTTGAGGCTCCTTCCAACTCGATCTATGGGTCAGTCTACTATCACAATCACCCACCCTGTCTCTACCTAGTCAGGAGGATCACACAGGGTAAGGTCTCCCTACTTCAATACACTCAGCTGTCCACATGATCTTCCGAAGGGCTGGACTGACCCTGCCACCACTCTCCCCAACTCAATAAACTCCACTGGCTCTCTATTGCCTCCAGGATCAAATCTAAAGCCCTGTTTGACTTCTGAAGCTCTTTATAATCCGGCCCCTTCCTACCCTTCCTGCCTTCTCACACCCTACTCTACCCAAAGTGCTCTGATCCAGTGATACTGGTCTCTTTGCTATTCCTTGAACAGCATCCTCTGTCTCTTGACTCTGGGTATTTTCAATGGCTGTCCCCCAAGCCTGGAATCCTCTCCCTCTTCATCTCCATCTCCTCGTTTCCTTCAAGTGCCAATTAAAGGTCCACTTCCACAAGAAGCTTCTCCAAAACCCCCTTAATGCTAGTGCCTTCCCTTCGTGATTATCCTCAATTTACCCTGCATATATCTTGTTTGCACATAGTTCTTTATATGTCGTTTCCCCCATTAGACTGTAAGCTCCATGAGAGCAGGGATTCTCCTTTTCTTTGAACCAATTCCCAGTGCTTAGCACAGTACATGGCATGTAGTAGGCATGTAAGAAATACTTGCTGACCTTGCCCAGGACACCATTCTGTGAAGACCCAGAGTGTCTCAATTCACCTGTCACCTACAATATAATTCTGTGAAAACTCAGTGTTCCAATTCACCTGCCACCCACACCATTCTGTGAAGATAGTGTGTCCCAATTCACCTGTTACCTATAATACCATTCTGTGAAAACTCAGTGTTCCAATTCACCTGCCACCCACACCATTCTGTGAAGATAGCGTGTCCCAATTCACCTGTTACCTATAATACCATTCTGTGAAAACTCAGTGTTCCAATTCACCTGCCACCCACACCATTCTGTGAAGATAGCGTGTCCCAATTCACCTGTTACCTATAA